GTCACTGATGCCTATTGTATATGCGTGTCCGGAAACCATATTAACCAGGTTCAACAATGAAAAATCATTCAAAATAAAAATAACCTTAGATTTACTATGATCACGCCCTGGCACCGAATATGTACTATACAATTTCTCTAGGCCACGTTATAATTTTAAATAAGATGGCTTTATATTTAACAAGATGTGCAAATGATCCCCCACAATAAGAGAATTTACCTGAGTCAACAATGCAAAATCCATCAAACAGAATATGTGAGATTTACTAAGTTGACGTCTGATTCGCGAATTGTGCTTAGATTTTTTATAACACGAATTAAACTGTTCGAGATACGACTTTTCATGAATGACTGCCGAATCCCAAACGCAAAGCTTCAGGAAATGCTGTTGCTGGATAAAACAGCTATTGTTTGACTAGCATATTGTAACGTCATGGATACTCACAGCGGACCACAGACACAGACTTTCATATATAACAAATAATTATTAACAAATAAAACAAACCAAATATATACACTTAATAATCTACTTACACCCTATTCTCTGATAGACCTACTATCCCCTGATCGCATGGGAGCATCCAAAACCGATTGAAAGATGATTTTGTTGTGGCATTCGCCACTGCTACTTTTGAATCAGCGCACAAAGGCATAGCCTTCCGTGACCCGGATGTTCACGCTGGACACAAAGGCCCGTTCTGGCGCACCACAAAAGGCTGGTTGCCTCGGATCGCAGGACGAGCTTATCCGATTAGAATCGGCTGATCGGGGCACTCAAACCACTCCTTCACCTCGGAGCACCGCACACAGCATCGCTCCCGTGACGCAGTCACCAAGGACCTAAAGTCCGCAGCTCGGCAACTTGACTCGAGCTCCGCCGAGCCTGGCTCCGAATATCGCACCCTCGTGGCCCAAGTTTTGTCACACGCACGAGGTTCTCCCACTGTCTCCAGACCCACCCACTTGCTCGTGTACACTTTATTAGGCGAGGCCCACGTGACCTACTACTTCACGCCCACCCCCTCGTTTGTCTTATAACCAGCGCAACGGTTCTATAGCGGAAGACACCCAGCCTTGTGTCTCCCGTCTCCGCGTTCCTTCCTTTACGCGAAAAACCCTACTTCCTGTGGCGAGGCTCAATCCTTACAAGCGTCCCCAAACATAGATCCTGAAGCACGCTGGCCTAAATACGTTACAATATCTCGAAAGAGATACCAGGAACGACAAGAAATTAGAAAGGGTTTCTTTTCCAGTCTGAAAAACACTATGTTCTCGTAATATTCTCTCTGAAAGCTCAACATAATATTTTCACCCAATTCATTTAAATTTTAATAATTGTTGGGAAGACGATGATTACGCAAACTTGAACATTACGAGAATCTTCCAAAAATCATAGCCAGCAAAAATGAATTAAATGAATCTTCCCAAATCCCTGAGACTTACAAAAATGCAATGCGTTTTAACACAAAGGAATGAGAATATAAGAACAAAAATGCATGACTAGTTTTCAGTGCCTGTTGTGGAACATGCTAGTTGAAAGCAAATCTTATATTTTGTTAATGAAACCAGAGACGTAGTGTACATTTAAAAACTGGGTTGTAGAATGTAACTTAAGTTGTCTTTCTACTCTCCCATTAGATTTATTATCTGATTACCTCGTAGTGAGTACAAAAGTCAGCGTTTCGACCAAGACCACCAGAACAAGAATGATCACTACTGGAATAAGTCTATGAGGGAGATTTCTGCTTCAATGTATCACAGAAAGATCCTGAGCATTCTCCAGAGGACGTGGGGGTAGTTACATGCTGATAATCTTTACTAATACCATTATAAAATATGTAATATGGCCATTTTTAGTATAAAAAAGGATTCGCTGTTATAGAAATGTGGAGATGGTTGTTTGCAATCTGAATGCAAAACCCGTAGAGTTGTTACTGTTAACAAACTGCTTTAGAAAAATTATGCTATAAAATTATGACGATTACAAGTTTCATTTGTAGACCTGTGTAATAATTGAATAATCAATGATGAAGGGCTTACCTTTCCCAGGCGGCCGCGGGGGTGTCGGCGCGGGTTCTGGCGCAGTTCGATATTTCCAGCTCGGCGTTTCGCCAGTCGAGCAGCGTCGGGATTAACTCCCAGGTGGGCCTTGCCCACACCCTCCACGCACCGCACGCACGAAATCGATCAAGCATCTGAACAATTCCCATTTCTAATAGCACTTGTTCTCATCCTATATATATCAGACATATCCCAAGTATTTCGTACTCTTCTCGAACCCACGTTACAACGCGATAACAGTGTCTTAGACTTATACCCCCTCCGACAAAACACATACAGCGTCGACACTCCCCCAACATCACGCGCACATACTACACAACACATACGCGGAAAGACCAGTGACTCTTCCTGACTGGACAATATTTAAATGATTTCCAAGAGTGTTAGACCAGGCAAGGATGTTAGGAGCTTCACGGTGTTGGAAGACGTCGAGAAACCTTTTCACTACCTTCTGAATGTCGCATTCAGTACAAACTACAAACACCTTTGTGCGGCCCGGCCCATGAATGCGAAGTGAATCCTCCTTCCGTTCGAAACAAAAATTACCCGTTCTTTCCACGAGTTTGGCCAGATTTACCTTAAACATTACAATGGGACGACCTTGGACATCAAAAAAATTTGATGATTTTCCAACTAAAAAGTGTCGTTGATTTTATAATACCCTTCAATTTCTTTACAAATTAATTTCATTTGTATAAAAAGGAACTTTGATTTTAAAATATTGTAAAGTTCTTTTCTTTCAAAATAAAAATCCTAGTTTTCGGAAATGTATTATATGTTTTATTGACTACGTAATGGCTAAAAGAAAAAACCCACGTTATCTCCAAAATACTCGAATGAAAACCGCGTAACTCCCGAAATTAAACGAGATTGTTGAAATAATTATTATTGTTGATCTGGCAATAAATATTTTATAGTACAAAACATTCAAAACTAATTTTATTAAAGACATTGTTAATTAGACATTGTAATTCAAGGCGAACTAGAGTCGAAACAGCACGTTTAACTTGACAACTTGAAATAACTAAAAAAAATACGCGATGTACGAAAAATTGAGCCGAGACCAAATGCTAACAGTTTTGAAGGGGGAATCATTCTATGATAAATAAGCACCCCGCCTGCCCCCAGCTGGTGGAGCGGTGGGAAACATTGAAATCTTAAATAGGAACCCCCCTTTTTATTTCAGATTCGGATTCTACGGAAATTACATTTTTGTTCAGGTTTCAGGTATTGAGGTAAGTGCTTCTTCACAAAATAATTTTTAGGATCTCTACTGTTCAACTCGCACAGAAAGTAGCAAAATTTAGATTATCTTGTAGGAGTCCCAACAAAAGTGTAATAACTTTCAAATAGGTGCATACATCCTACGAATACTGTTGTTGGTATTGTATCTCTGATGACGAAAGTTTCATACGCTATACATCTCTTTGATATGATCTGTGAAGGTAAAGGTATCGCTGGTTTCTTATTTTCTATATGAATAAGCACAGCTTTTAAACTGGGTTTAGCGGAATCTAAAAACATCCTCCATTCTTTAGGATCTGAGGATCTAGACTGTGAGGAACAGGCCAAATGGTATCATGTGAAAATCGGGGCAGTAATCGGTTGCAAATAATGCTCATAAACGGGTCACAGATCATACATGTCGTGATTACCACACATGTCGGGATACCAATCAAAAGCTTTGAGTTTGTCCCGACTGGAGTGATATACCTCTAGGGGAGATACCTGGACAGGGAAAACCCCGGAATCCGGCATGTGGGTCAGCGTCAGATCTTCCTTCCGCCGGGCGAGCCCCCCCCCAGGGAAATACCTGCGCTATACTTACGTCACAGATGACCATTGTATATGGCGTGTCCGGAAACGCATATAACACAGGTCAACAATGAAAAATCATCAGAAATAAAATAATATGTGATTTACTATGTATCACGCCCTGGCACCGAATATGTACTTACAATTTCTCTAGCACGTATAATGTTTGAAATAAGATGGCTTTAATATTAAGAATGTGCAAATGATCCCACGCAATAAGGAATTACCTGGTCAACAATGCAAAATCGTCAAACAAGAAAATATGTGAGATTTACTAAGTGTGACGTCCTGATTCCGAATATGTGCTTAGATTTTTTTATAACACGAATAATGTTCCAAATAGGACCGTTTTCATGGGGTGACTGCGAATCTCCAACGTTAAAGCCTTCAGGAATTGCTCTTGCTGGGGATAAAATGAGCTATTACTTTGGAACTGGAACATTCGAGAATCTTCCAAAAATCATCGCAGCAAAAATGAATTAATGAATCTTCCCAAATCCCAGAGACTAACAAAAATGATGCGTTTACACAAAGGATGAGACTATAAGAACAAAATGCATGGACTACTTTTCAGTGGGTATGTGAACATGTCGTAGTGAAAAGCAAATCTTCAGATTTTGTTAATAGAAACCAGAGACTTTTGTGTACATTTCAAAAACTGGGTTGTAGAATGTAACTTAAGTTGCTCTTTCTACTCTCCCATTTAGATTTATTATCTGATTACCTCGGTAACGTGAGTGACAAAATGGTCAGTGTTTCGACCAGGACACCAGAATAAAGCAGCATCACTACGAAGGTTTGTGGAATAAGTCTATGAAGGGAGATTTCTGCTTGGTGTTCTACAGAGAATATCCTGATGCATTTCTGAAGAGGCGTTGGAGTTCGTTACATTTCTGACTAATCTTTACTAATACCATTGATTAGAAAATCTAAATAGCTGATTTTTAGTGTTAAAAATAAAAAGCTTTTATAGAAAAATGGTGGGTGATGGTGCAAATCTGAATGCAAAACCGTATTCTGTGTTACAAACTGCTTTAGACAAATATGCTTAAATTTATGACGATTACAAGTTTCATTTTGTAGACCTGTGTAAGTAATGAATGAATCAATGGTGAAGGGGCTTACCTTCTCCCAGGCGGCCGGGGTGTCGGGCGCGGGTTGCGGGCGCAGGTTCATGATGTCCAGCTCGGCGTTCCGCAGTCGGCCGTCGGGATTGAACTCTAGCGTGGGCTTGCCCGACACCTCCACGGCCACGTTGCGCAGGATCCTGCAAAAGCGCACCAGGGGCGCGGCGTTGGTGGCGTGGTCTGGGTGTGTACTAATACTACATGGCGCGTTCCAGGTACAAACTGTACGGTCTCTTTCACACGTCCTGTCCTGTGCTGTCATTTGGCTCGACAGCCAGATACAAGCCTCGCCCGATCAGCGGTGGCCCAATCTGTCGGCCATGGTATATGGTATACGGGGTTCGTGTGGATAGCACGAAGTCATTCCTCCATTACATATGGTCTTCTTAACATTAGGGTGGCCTTTCTCATCGTCACACAGCAATAGATACTGGGACATTTCTTTAAGGAGAGTGCGCAGTTATAATTTAGTCCCGACCGGGAATCGAACCCGGGGTTGCGCCGTGGAAATCGAGCACGCTAACCAACGAACCACCTCTATCACATGTAGTCGTTAAAAATGACAAAGCGAACAACAAGCATATAAGCAAACGTATGATACGTATAACGAAAAAAAAACATTTAGGGGAACGAGCGTAGTAGAAGATAAATCAAAATTCTTAATACCGAATTTAATGCGATGATTAAACGGAGGAAATAGCAAGATGAATGACACTGAACAATCAGATCTTCACCTTCTTATCAAAATAATTTGACTCTTCGGATATAAACAAGATTTAATTCTAAATATAAGTCACGTTTATTATATAATTGCCGAAAACGTTTGATAAACATTTTTGTTAATGATCATGCACTGATGAACTTGTAATCTTCAACCGTGAGGTATATTGCTCTGCTAGAAAAACAATAGGCCGTATACTACAAAAATAAACCTAGACGTGCCAAAGGGATATTTTTAAACACGGATAAATACATATTTGCGGTCTAAATAAGAGACGACGGTACACTCTTGTAAGTCCGGTTTTGAGAAAATAATTATCTAAAATTGTTAAAAAAAATAATTCCTATATTTTATAAGTAAATACGCGAAAATGAATCATATTTTCTAAATATTGAGCGCAATATTTTTTCAAGACCTGTCTTTGAACAACAGATTTTATTAAGAAAATAATATCCATCTACAGTATTGTAGTTTTAGGAAATAGCCAAAGAAATGGACCTTTTGCAATTTTCAAAAAACCAGGGATTTCAACCGAAAATGAGACCGCCATAATTTTTAAGCGTACTTTACACTATCTAAGGGTTAATAAAAATATTCATGTAATGTACCCACAAAAATAAAATTTTCCGTTTTATACTCAAAAGATCTCGAGTTCTTTCCAATCTATTGAGAAAAAAGGATTTTGAAGAAGCTCGGCTGGACGGTTTTGGGATAGCGTTCAACACAAGCGGATCGATGGACGGACAGACAGAAAGATAAGAGACTGGCAGAGATACATTTTGGTGTCCATCAATATTTCGGTATCAAGGGTCAACAAACCATGGATTCTGTCTATACGCCTCTAACACAGAGGAAGTAATTTACTATATATGAACAAGATTGTTTTTCGTTACCAAAGCCAGACCAGTTTAGAATGGGGAGAAAATCGGAGAAGATAACCAGGCACAAAATTAAATTAACTTGGTAGCAGGCAAGAGCTGTGTTACTTGGTTATTGTTTTGTAATTGATTTATAGTCTGGGTTGCAAAGATTGTTTGATATTTATTATAATTAAATTCATGTAATAACATTTAAATGTAAGTTTTTAACCGATTTGCTTATAAAAATAATGTGTTGAGATCTTCTTAAATAACGTTTTAGTTTATTTTCATCATTCAGTAAAGACTAATTCAAAAAATAAAAATCTGAAGTAAATTGAACGAAAGCATACTTTCGTACGTTTCCTGTCACGCCTGGTTATTCATGTCCTATTTTCTAAAAAAGCCTCTAAATTTGTTTTTTAACATTTTTTATTCGAACAATTTTGTAAAAAATGGCCAGAGATTTGAGAAATTTTTGAAAATGTCCTAGGGTAATCATTTAACTTACCCCCAAAAATTACAGTTCGTTTACTGATGCAAATAAGTTTTGAGCGAGTCGCAAATAAGTTTTGAGCGAAGTCGTGAGCGAAAATGCCTAGTTTTCAAATGTTACTTCCAAATGTTACTCCAAATGTTACTCCAAACTACCAATGTTACTCCAAAAAGCAAAACCAACTTCTACAATAAATCGTTCGCAATTACTGTAGCCCGGAAATGGCATAAATTGCCTTCCAATATTAAAAACTCCTCTTCATAAACATCTTTTAAGAAGCAGCTGCATGATTTTCTTACAAAGTAAAATACATCATTTTGCAATTTAAATCACCGCAGATTACAGGTCAAATAAAAACTATTCCTTAGGAGTGTTTAAGGTTAATATGTTTTAGAAATAACGTTATGGTTTCTTTTGTAAAAAAAAATGTTACTTTCTTGCGACCTGTTTGATACTGCCGGAACTGTACTTTCATATATAGTTTAGATGATTAATACAAGTTTTTAAAAAAGCGTTGAAGTATAATAATAATAATAATAATAATAATAATATAATATAATTAATTATATGCCTTTATTAATATGGCGAGGCTTGCGGCCGCTCCGCTCTTCCGCCTACCACATGTCACAAATATATAGAGTAATGTATTAAAAGTAATGTATTAATAGTAAACGTACTTAAAAAGTAATGTTATCTTAAAATTTAAATGTAATTGAATCTACAAGTTGTAAGTAGTTAGTGGAAAGCAAACGTTATTTAAAGCAACGTATTAATAGACATCAGAGGTTAAATGGAATAAATGTTACAATAATAAGTTTGAAATTAATTTTTAAAATCAAGTCTGAGATAGAAAACACAATTTCGAATTAAATAAGATTATGTGCTTTAAATATCTTCGCGCTACGCGGCAGGCCGGGGTATTCACCCCGAGCGACTGTGATCTATTATACAGAAAGACACCATCACCCGCCGCTCGATCCTGAGGAAAAACCGCTAGTCGGGAAAACCAATCAGCCAGAGCTGCGTCCTAATACAATGGAAACTAAGCTAACATGAAGTAACGGGTCTTCGAGTTGGTATCCTCAGCTGGGTCCATGCTTGCAAAAGGGTCGTTTCTTGTTTAAAACCGCCTCTGCTCCTACGGATGAAAGTACAGTTTCCTGCGGAGATCAAACGGTCGCAAGAAAGTAAACATTTTTTTTTACAAAGAGAACCATAAAGTATTTCTAAAACATATTAACTTAAACACTCCTAAGGGAATAGTTTTTATTTGACCTGTAACGCGGGGATTTAAATTGCAAAATGATGTATTTTACTTTGTAAGAAAATCATGCAGCTGCTTCTTAAAAAGATGTTAATGAAGAGGAGTTTTTAATATTTGGAGGCAATTTATGCCATTCCCGGCTAAAGTAATTGCCAAACGATTTATTGTAGTAGTTGGTGTTTTGCTTTTTGGAGTAACATTTGGTTAGTTTGGAGTAATATAGGTGTTGCGGGTAAGATATCTTTGGCATTTTTAAAATATTAAAGATGTGTCATTGCCAACAATGTTTTTCAATTCAATAGCAGCTTTCAATGGCTTAGCATGCATCATCACGTGTGTCTGCTAGATGGAAGCACAAAACGGATTACGTCGAGTCGACTACGACGAGTAGTCGTTTAGTGCTTCCATCTAGCAGACAACATGATGATGATGGCTAAAGCCATTCGAAAGCTGCTATTGAATTAAAAACATTGTTGGGCCAATGACAACATCTTTAATTAGTTTTGGAGTAACATTTGGAGTAATATTTGACAGTAACATTTTGAAAACTAGGCATTTTCGCTCCCAACTTATAGAAACGACTTATTTGCATCAGTAAACGAACTGTAATTTTCGGGGGTAGTATAAATTATTACCCTAGGACATTTTCAAAAATTTCTCAATTCTCGGCCATTTTTTACAAAATGTTTCGAACAAAAATGTATAAAAACAAACTTAGAGGCTTTTTTAGAAATGAGGACATGAATAACCAGACGTGACAGAAACGTACGAAAGTATTGCTTTCGCTCAATTTACTTCAGATTTTTATTTTTTGAATTAGTCTTTACTGAATGATGAAAATAAACTAAAACGTTATTTAAGAAGATCTCAACACAATATTTTTTATAGCAAATTCGTTAAAAACTT